TTGGAGCTCTGGCTTGTTTTCTCTCGCAGACGTTTCATTACCCAACTAGGTAACATCATCAGTGCTGCTAAGGAGTGCAGTTTGTCTGTGTTTATCTTCATATTATACTGTAGCTCAGGGTTGAAATGCGGGCTCCTTGGAACTCTGGCTTGTTTTCTCTCTCAGACGTTTCATTACCCAACTAGGCAACATCATCAGTTCTCATAAGAAGTGTGGTTTGTCCAGGGATGGGAGTCAGCCAGATGGGGATGATTAGGGGACTGGAGACTAAAACATATGAAGAACGGTTACAGGAACTGGGCCTGGCTAATCTAGTGAAGAGAAGGACCAGGGGAAACAGGATAGCGATCTTCCAATATTTGAGGGGCTGCCACAGAGAGGAAGGATTCAAGCTATTTTCTAAAGCGCCTGTAGGCCAGACAAGGAATAATGGATGGAAACTGATCAAGGAGAGATTCAACCTGGAAATAAGGAGAAACTTTCCGACAGTGAAAAAAAATCAACCGATGGAACAGAAGTTTCCCTCAGAAGTTATAGGAGCTTCAAGATGAGATTGGGCTCCCATCTGTCAGAAATGGTGTAGGGTCTCTCGCCCCGCTAGAGGCTCCGCTGAGGCCCAGGAGGCCCCAAAATGGAGCACAGGTGGGGGGGGTGCGTGCCCCCCCATGCTCCATTTTATTCCTTCCTGAGCCCCAGGGAAGCCTTCTGGGAGCCAAAATGTCCCCCCAGAGGCTCCCCTGAGGCCCAGGAGGCCCCAATATGGAGCGCAGGGGAGTCCTTCGTGCTCCCTTATCCTCCATTTTATTCCCTCCTGAGCCCCAGGGAAGCCTTCCGGGAGCCAAAACGTCCCCCCAGAGGCTCCCCTGTGGCCCAGGAGGCCTCAATATGGAGTGCAGGGGAGTCCTTCGCACTCCCTTATCCTCCATTTTTTTTCCTTCCTGAGCCCCAGGGAAGCCTTCTGGGAGCAAAAATACCCCCTCGGAGGCTCCCCTGAGGCCTAGGAGGCCCCAAAATGAAGCGCAGAGGGGGCTGCCAAAAAAAAAAAAAAGAAGAAGCCCTGCCCAACAAGCACATGGCCACGCCCACCTAGCCACGCCCACAGAACCGATTGTTACAAAATTTGAATCCCACCCCTGACTTGGGGTGGGCTGCTGGGGGTTCGCAGGGGTTTCGGGAGATCCTGTAGCTAAGATTCTGCACACTTTGGAGAACCCCCAAATCCCACTTCTGGCTGGCCCCACCCACCCCTCCCCTCCCAGGAGTCCCCACCCAGCCCGTTTTGGATGCAGGTAAGTGCAGGGTGCAGGTGGAGGCTTTGTGGAGGGCAAATAACAGGCCTCTTGGAAGTTCGAGAAGGCTGGAAACAGGCCTGTTTCCAGCTTCCAGAGCCCTTCTGGAGCCTGGGGAGGGCAAAAGGGCCCCCCCCCACACACACACCAACACCGTGGTGTAGGAGGCTGACTAGGCTATGCTCACCCTGGACACACCTACCCAGCAACCGGGCAGAGAACCCGTTGCTAAAATTTTAGAAGCCCACCCCTGGCTTCAACCATTTCCTGCTGACTTCTGGGTCAGCCTTCCACCCAGCATGCAGAGAGTAGAAATTTAAGGGTGAAATGGAGGTCTGTACAGGTGGTTCTCGACTTATGACCACAACTGAGCCCAACATTTCTGTTGATCGGTGAAACATTTGGGAAGTCGGTTTTGCCCCATTTCTTGCTTCAGTTGTTAAGGGAATCCTTGCAGTTGAGAAGATCAGACTCCCGGTTGTTAAGTGAGTGTGGCTTCTCCTTTGCTTGTCGGAAGGTCACAAAAGGGGATGGCATGACCTTGAGACACAGCAGCGGTCATGAGTATGAAGCAGTTGCCAAGCGACGGCATTTTGATCACATGATCCTGGGGATGCTACAAAGGTCGTGGCTGCGAAAAATGGTCGTACGCAGGGGTGGGATTCTACCAGTTCGCACCTATTCTCTGGAACAGGTTGTTAACATTCTAAGCAGTTCGGAGAACTGGTTGTTAGAAAAAATTACTGGCCTAATCCTGTAAGGAAGGCAGGAAGGAAACATTCTGGAGTCGCTTACAGAAACGGCCTCTCCGTTAACCCTTATTACATTCTTGGCAGGACTAGACTTCCTGTCTCAGGAATGTCTCTGGAGTTTTTTTTTCTCCTCCTTTGCTGGTACTTTGCTTGTGTGGAGTGACCATTCAAAGTGACAATGGCACTGAGAAAAGTGACTTATGACCATTTTTCACACTTACGACTGTTGCAGCATCCCCACAGTCATGAGAGGCCAGGCGAGGAGATGCGTGCCTCGATGTGAGTGATATTGAGTTAGCCACACCCAGCCAATAACATGACCATCAAGCCATGTCCACCCAGTCACATGACCACCAAGCCACACCCACCACCTAAGCCACGCCCACAGAAGCGGTTGTTAAAAATTTGAATCCCACCCCTGGTCGTACGTCTCTTTTTTCAGCGCTTGACTGAATCTCCTCCTTCTCTCTCTTCCACCACCCAAGAAAGAAGTTCCTCATGGTCACTGGATCAAAATGCGGGCACTTGGCAATTGGCTCATATGTTTAGTTTACTTTATTGTCATTGCACCTCATACAATGAAATCAAACACCATCTTCAGGGTACACTATGACTATGAAAATAAACACAAACACACATCCTTCACATTCTCTACACTGAACTGAAAACCCCTGATGTTGCCTTAATGTTGCACTCTGCAGTAGAATTCAATAGAGTTACTGCCCTGGAATAGAAGCTGTTTTCCAGCCTATTTTGCCCTTGTTTTTATTATCCTGTACTGCAGGGGTGTCCAAACTCTTTGCAAGGAGGGCCAGATTTGGTGAGGTGAAAATGTGTGTGGGCCGACCATTCAGGGGAACCGTTGTGCGGTGAAGGGAAAAACGCCGGCCAGCGGGGAAATGTGACAGGCTGAGTCGGCGGGGAGAAGAAGCTGCAGGCCACTCGATATTTGAAAACGGGCTGCAATTGGCCCCCGGGCTGGACTTTGGAGATGCCTGCTGTACCATCTGCCAGAGGGTTACAGTTCAAAAAAAAAGGGTTGCCCAGGATGAGATGGACCTTTGAGAATGTTTTGAATTTTCTGAAGGAGAGCGGGAGCTATAAAGCTCTTCCAAAGAGGGGAGAGGGCAACCCATGATCCTCTGGGCAATGACATGAACCCTCTGGAGTGCTTTCCTATCTGCCCCTGTGCAAACCATGAGTAGGCGCAGTAAGTTAAAGATACTCTCTATGGTGCAGCAATAGAAGGTCCCAAGCAGTTTTTCATTCAGTTGTTGTTTTCTGAGAAGTCCCAGGTAGAACAATCTCTGCTGGGCCCTTTTGACCAGGGCTGCAATGTGAGCACCCCAGATCAGGTCCTCTTTTAGGGTAACACCTAGAAACTTAAAACTGGCCACTTGCACCACTCGGTCTCCATTGATAAGCAAGGGCTGGATGTCTGATCAGCTCCTTCTCTAGTGCACCATAAGCTCCTTGGTCTTATTGGAGTTGAGGACCAAGTTATTGTCTCCACACCACGAAAGCAACCGGTCCACCTCATCTCGGTAGGCAGATTCATCCAACAGACTCATCCCCCTCAGAGATGAGTCCCACCACTGTTGTATCATCTGCAAATTTAGTATGTATGATGATTGCTGTGTCCTGAGGTCATGTAATCAACTTCGGTGGCCTTCTGACATTTAGCTGTGCTGGGAAATCCCAGAGGGATGTTCTGTCAGCTACATTGGTTGCTGGAGAAGACAACTTCTTACGGAGCATCAGTGCAGAGAAGGCCAGCCTAAGATTTTCTGGTCTCTCACATGGGATCTAGCGGTGTGTGTGTGTGTGTGTGTCCCATTCTCTTTCAAGGCTGCTTTTCTTTTCTGAGGTTTCGGAACTTTTTTGGGCTGCTCCTCCAACCTGGGGAGTTTCTGAAGGAAGCGAGGTTGGGTTAGAACTTTGTCCCAGATGTTTCGATGTGCTCATCTTCAAAGGGACGTATGACGAGAGGGGACAGTGTGTTTATAGAAAAAGGATGCTGTTTTGTGGACAATAACGTTCACATTTTGGACAGGGAAGACAGATGGTTTGAGAGAGTTCTTCTGGAGACCAAAAAAGCTCGGGGCCAGTCTTCTCCTCCCAAGAAGTTGTCTTCTCTGCCACCAGTTTGGGTCACCACACTATAAAAAAGATATTGAAACTCTGGAAAAAGTGCAGAGAAGAACAACCAGGATGATTAGGCGACTGGAGACTAAGGTATACGAAGAACGGTTACAGGAACTGGGCCTGGCTGGTCTAGTGGAGAGAAGGACCAGGGGAGACATTATAGTGGTCTTCCAATATCTGAGGGGCTGCCACAGAGAGGAGGAAGGATTCAATCTATTTTCTAAAGCACCTGTAGGCCAGACAAGGAATAATGGATGGAAGCTGAACAAGGAGAGATTCAAACTGGAAATAAGGAGGAACAATCATCCCATGGAACAGAAGTTTCCCTCGAAAGTTGTGGGAGCGCCATCACTTGAGACTTTCAAGGAGAGATTGGACTCCCATCTGTCAGAAATGGTGTAGGGTCTCCTGCTTTGGCAGGGGGTTGGACTAGATGACCTTCCCTTCCAACTCTGATTATCTGTTAACCAATGCAGCTGGTAGAACGTATCTCTGGGATTTCCCAACCCAACTTGGAGAGTCCTTCTTGGGTGGTGGAAAAGAAAGGAGATCTAGTCAGGGCCACGGCTGTTGCAAGACTCTACAGCATACAGTATGCCTTCTGGGGTTCCCCAATGCACCACAATTGCGGAGGTTGTGAATTGGGGGGGCTGTCCTGGAGGAACATCGCCTTGCAGACGTTTTATTACCCAACTTGGTAACATCATCAGTGCTGGTAAGGAGTGGGGTTTGCTCTCCATTTATATCCATATTATATTGTAGCTCAGCGTTGACATGAGGGCTCCTTGGGAGCTGGCTTGTTTCCTCTTGCAGGCGTTTCATTACCCAACTAGGTAACATCATCATGGTTGGTAAGGAGTCATGTTTGCTCTCAGTTCATACAAGTATTCTTCGACTTACAGCCGTTCATTTAGTGACCGTTTAGTTACAACGGCACCGAAAAAAGGGACTGACCATTTTTCACACTTATGATCTTGGTGCCTTAACCACTACAGGTGGTCCCCGACTTATGACCAGAATTAAGCCCAACACTTCTGTTGTTAAGTGAAACATTTGTCAAGTGAAGTTGCCCCATTTTACGACTTTTTTTTTGCCACGGTTGCTGAGTGAATCATTGAAATTGTTAAGTTAGTAACACGGTTGTTAAGGGAAGCTGTCTTCCCCATTGACTTTGCTTGTCAAAAGGACACAGGAGGGGATCACGTGACTCCAGGACACGGCCACCATCATAAATATGAACCACTTGACAAGCGTCCAAATTTTGGTCACGTGACCACAGGAATGCTGTAATGGCACGAGTGGGAAAAACGGTCATAAACCACTTTTTTCAATCCCGTTGTAACTTGGAACGGTCACTAAATGAATGGTTGTAAATCAAGGACTCCCTGTAGACTAAATTGAATGAATTTGTGGCTGATTGGCTCATCCTTGGTGCTCATTTTTCTTTTGTGCGTTATATTTAATGTCTTTTGTTCTTCTATTGATATTTTTATTGTGTTGGCTGACCAGAGCCACTTTATCTGAGCTGGACGGTCCTAGATTCTAATTAATAAATTTCTAAAAGTTTTGAATCTGTAGAAGAGGCTGAAATATGCATTGAATTCTTGCAAAATGCTTTCAAGTTTCCTTTTTAAGCTTTCAAAGACGGCTAATCCAGAGGGAGGGGGAGGACAGACCCCCCCCTCCTTTTCACTCCTCCATGTCCCCAAAGCATGCACTATAATATGGGAGGCATCTCTCTCATAAATCAGGGATCTCCCCACTCTTGGGCCATATTGGGCACCTGAAGACCCCAGAGAGGATCTGGGAGGAACAGGAGAAGCCGCCCTTCTGCAAGGGGACCAGGAAGGCTCTAGCCGGTCACTGAACTCTCTCCCGAAGGGCCTCTGGGTGAGGCTCAAAGACCAGCCACTTGGACAGCAACCTGAGGCAAAGGAGGATTTGAGGGGAAAGCAGCCTCTGTTCCTGCCACCCCCAAGCCAAGGCCAAGTAGCCATTTTGCAAGTGATCAGCCGGTGATGCCGGAGAAACCTCTGGAGACAGGAACAAAATGGCCGCCTCCTCCCCAAAGGAGGAAACAGGAGCCCCTCCAGTTCTCCCCTCGATTCCTCCCCTTCCTATCACTCAGAGCGAAATTGGGGTCCCTGATCAACAAGGAGGGGAAAATCTTTGTTATTTCCAACTTCCACTAAGAGGCAGAAACGGTCAGGTAAGAAGAAAGCAAAACCATTTATTTTCAGCAAACAATTTTGACAAACTTTATAATATATGTACCATTGTTAAGGACGTAGCAACCTGACTCTGCAATTGATCTCATGTTCCATTTGTCTAAATCATGAACATCCATAAATGGCAATCTATATAAAAATCAGTGTCAAATAATATACTCAGTATATTCATTATTTGTCAAACTTTGTGTTATCAAATACATGGTGAAATAACCGTGCAATAATCAATTAAGAATGCATTAACTATTTTATTGACAAAAATCTCAGAATGCACATTTCTTCTTTTAGTAACAGTTTCATCAAAGATGACATTAAACAGATATACAAGAAAAAGAAACCTCTACCTTTATCCTCAACAAATATAATGAAAATTAACAACTTATTAATCTTTCTTAAAGTAAAACCAATGACCTCTTCATCCTATTCCTCACCCCATTTTCCCTAAACCCGTCTCTAAAACCTCTAATCTTTATCCTCTAATCTCTATCCACTAAGATTAATCAGGAAAAGCCCATTAAGGATGTTATGCAACCTACCTATTATAAACTATTATCTACGAAACCCTATTTGAAATCTTAACACATAATACATCCTTTTCTCCTCTGATCCTCAATCATGACAGAAAAAGTTTACCGATTCAGCGATAAAAGCAGTGATGAAAGACCCCAAATCTACCCTGGTTCCAGCATGCAGGAAAGGCCTGAAGAGCCTGGCCTAATTCAGGAGAAGGCTGGTCCCTCTTCCTTCCTCTCTCTTTAGGCTGGGAGTCTCCACTGCAAAGAGGAGGGAAGAAGCACCCAAGGGTTAGTGGGACCAAGACAGGCGGAGCCTGAGAGGCGCCACAGGATCAGAGTCTGGGGGCAGGAAGACCCCTCCCCCGAGCCCTCCCCCCGAAATCCCTTCCCTTCCAGTGTTTGGGATGAACAGGAGAGAGAAGAGGGATTTTCAAAGTCTCCTCACCCTCCCTTGGTCCTTGGACCCCAAAGCCCTCCCCCCCCCCCCCCCCCCCCCCCCCATGGCCCCCCCCCCCCAGTCCACTCACCTGCAATGGGGCTGCTAAGCGGCCTGGTTGCTCCCTGGATTGGAGAAAAAGACACAGAATGAATGAATCTCTTGTCCTGTGAGGAGGAGCTGACTGTCGGGTATCTGAGGCGCATGTGCGGGGCACGTGCATGTGCAGGGGAGGGGGTTGCACGTGCATTGCATTATGGGTGCAGGCACGTGTGCACACGCCCTTCCGCGCACTTTCGGCACGCAACAACGAAAAGGTCAACCATCACTGCCCTACACCATTTCTGACAAGATGGGAGTCGAATCTCCTCTCAAAAGTCTCAAGTGATGAAGCTCCCACAACCCCTGTTCCATTGGTTAATTGTTCTCCCTGTCAGAAAGTTTTTCTCTTATTTCCAACAGGGGGACTTTTCCCTCCTCCTCTGCAGAACAAATCAGTGCAAGTAGAGTAAATTTTGTGACACCCGGCTGACTTTCATGCCTAAGGCGGGACTAGAACTCCCGGTCTCCCCTGGCGCCCTCACCACTAAGCCAAAGTGGGCGCAATTATGCGAATTACTCCACCAGAATCAGATACAGAGAGATCACAGGGAGGATGAATCAGGAGGGACTTTAAAAGGCTCTCTTCTTTTCATCCCCTCGTTCACTCAAAGTCATGCAAACGGACAGAATGGCTCATGCAGCAGCAGCAGCAGTTCCCTCCAACTTACCCTGGTCTGAACGGTTGGAGTCCGTGTCACTTCCTGAAATAAGAACTGGGGGGGACATTTTTTGAAGCATTAAATAAGATATTAAAATCTGTATGGCAAGTTAAAAAAGCGAGAATAAAATTAAAAATGCTACAAGATGTTAAAAGTAGAGGTGGGTTTTGGTCTTCCAAATTGGGTGCTATACTACCAAGCATTGGCACTTACGTGGGTGAAAGGGTGGATTAATTTGAGGAATACAAGATTACTAACACTGGAGGGTCGTGATCTGCAATTGGGATGGTACAAGAAGGGGGAGAGACGTATTTGCAGAGGGACTACATTAGGAATGCGTTACTGTTAGTACAGACTAAAATTTAAGAGCGACATTATTTGAAAATACCAGTTTGGTTATCTACAATGGAGGCGTTGCAGGGGTGGGATTCTACCGGTTCTGTCCACTTCTATAGAACTGGTTGCTATGAAAAGCAGCAAACAGAGAGCATACATAGAACCGATTCTATGTCTGCTGCTGTTTTGGGCACCCGCCAAGCCAGGCTCTTACCTGACCTTTATTTCCTGCGTTTTCAACCGCAGCTGCTTTGCGCAACACAGCTGTGGTTGAAAAAGCAGGAAAAAAAATGATTTTCAACCACTGCGCACTCACACGCAGCGCTGCTCAGTTGTCCGGGCAGCTCAGCGGGTCGTAAATTCCACTCATGCCTCTCACGCGACTCATGCATGCGCACACGACGCAGAGCGACAGAACCAGTAGTTCTACCGGTCGGATCCCATCCCTGAGGGATTGGTATATCCAAATGTTATGACCATGGAAAAAATTATAAGATACAAGGACATACTAAATGAAAGGGGAGAACTAAAAACTAAACAAGAACTAGAGAGATTAGGGATTGACCTATCATAGTGGCCACAATTACAGATACAACCGAGATAGGAAAAAGATAAGAAGGCCTCTGGGTTTTATAAAGAACCAAATGAGCTAGACTAGATTCTAATGGGAACAAATGAAAAATTAATTAGGAGGATATATAATTATTTATTGACTATTAAATTGGAGGAAGAACAAGTAAAATAAACTCGGACAACTTGGGCTAAGAATTTTGGTTATATAATAGAATTAGACAAATGGCAGAAATTATAGGATCTACAAACTACGGGTTTACACTCTCAACAGCATATAAAGAAAATCTCTATAAAATATTTAATAGGTGGCATTTTTCACCTGCAAGGATAGCAAATATGTACAAAGACAAATCTGTTAAATGTTGGAAATGTAACCAAATATCAGGTTCACATGTGGTGGACATGTCCCAAAGCAAAATAAATATTGGAATAAACTTCGAAGCTATGATAGAACAACACATAAGACTTCAAACCTGAGATATTCCTGTTGGGCATGCTACCAGGAAATTATAATAAAGGTAATACATATCTAATTTGACATATTTTAAAAGCAGCCAGGATTGTATACGCACAATACTGGAAAAATGAAGAAACCCCCCCAGACGAGAATATAATCAACAAAGAACTGGAATGTGTAGAAATGGGTAGGTTAACGTTAAAAATCAAAGAAAAAGAAGACTAAATATTTTTAAAAGTGGGGGGTCTCTCCTCTTTTCATCCCCTTGTCCACCCAGAACCTTCCAAAGGGACAGAATGGCTCATGCGGCAGCAGCAGCAGCAGCTCCGCCTGACTTACCCTGGGCTGAACTGTTGGATCCTTTGTCACTTGCTGGAAAAGAAGGAAAGAAAAAGAGGGGGAGAAAGTTGCTCTCTTGGCTTATAGGGGGAGAAGCTCAGCTCTTTCTGACTCCAGCTCCCTCCCTCCCTCCCTCCCTCTCTCTCACACACACACAATCAAAGACCCATCAATACACGGAGAGAGTTTGAACCAAACTGCTTTGGCTAAAAGGCCTCAGAAAGAATTCTTAAAATGTATATGTATATCACACAAAGCCAGAAGTCAGAGCTGATCTAAAAAGATACAGATGGATCCAAGGTTGCTTTTTGTAACTGGTTCGTACTTAGAGAGCCTTGTGATGGGAGACCAAGAGGAGATCCAGCTGGCATCCCCCAAAGCTCCTTTTCTCCCAAAATGCCCCCTTTGGCTCCCTGATTTTATGGAGCTTCTGAGTCTCATTTGGCCAAGCCTTTCCTTTCTGCCTCCCTGGGAAACAGAGCATGTCCTCAGTCAGAGGGACCTTCCACCAGCCGCGTCTTCTCATCTTCTTGAAGGTTCCTTGTCCCAGAAGTCTCTCCTTGAGGACTCCACTTCCAAGAACAGCCTGGCTGTAATGAAAAGGGGGCCCATCTTCCCCAGCCTGGTTCTTAGCACGAAGAGGAAGATAGCACATGCAAGCATACACACACACATATACACCTCAAGTGATGGTGCCTCTGGTCCCTGCTCTAAGTTAGAGATTACGTGCAAAGAGGAAAAATTACTCACTTGGTGCTGCTTTGTAGTAGTCTTGATGTTTCTCTGCAAGGATAAAAAATCAGTGAAAGGTCAAAAGAATCTACCAGAGATCATCCAAACAGTCCTCCCATAGGAGGAAGAACCCCAGGAGATGCTTCACAGACCCCTTGTCCCATTTATAAAGATCTTCAAACTACAAAGGGATCTCCTGATTTGCCCCAAGAGAGACCTGCTGCCTCCAAAATGGATGGAAGGGAATTGGGGGAAGCAGCAGCCGCAGTAGCAGCTGGGAGGGGAGGAAGATTTTCATGGAAATCCTTCTCTGCTGCTCTTTGATCAAGGCCTTTGAGAGGAAGGGAACTGGGGTGCCTCTTTTCAACTGAGGAGAAGACGGGAGCGTCCCAACCTCAGACTCAGTCTGAGTCTAAACTGGAGTCCCAGCGAGAAGCTGAGACAACACATGCTCTCCAGGAGGGCTGGAAAAACAGGACAGAAAGAAGCCCAGAAGAAGCTCCACAAAGGGAGACACTTGGGAGAAATCTCCCCATCCTCCTTCCATCACACACTCCTCCCACCCCACCCCCCAAAAAAACCCACACTTACTGAAGAACTCCATGATCCTCGGTTTCTTAGAGGCCAAGACAACAAAAACCACCAAGACCAGGACAAAACCACCCATAACGCAGCCGACGATGAACTCCATGTAGAGTTTTGAATTGGTTGGTTCTGAATTGGGAGAAAGAGGAGATCATTGAAGGAGAAGCCCAAACAATGGTCCCAAGTCATGAGTTCTGATGCAAGAAGAATTTAAAATCTTCCTCTTCTACCCAAGGACCCCCCTTGCCCTGAAATATCCTGTTTCAGACACTTGAAGGACCTCCAGATGCTTAAAGTAGGGATCTTCAGCTTTAAGACGTGTGGACTTCCACTCCCAGAATTCCTCCTCCAGTCGTGTCAGCCCAGGAATTCTGGGAGTTGAAGTCCACAAGTCTTGAACTTGCCAAGTTTGAAGACCCTTGGCTTAAAGATATATAGAAGGGGAATCAAGAGTCAATTTGCGAGATGAAGGCCTCGGGGCTACAAACTCTGAGATCGTGACCCGAAGGTGCTTTTTCCAAGAGGACACTGGACTTTTTTTTTTTTTCTTTTGAAGACTTTTCACTTCTCATCCAAGAAACTCCTTCAGCTCTGACTGGATGGTGGGGAAATGGAAGGATTTATAGTCGAGGCACAAGCTTGTCCACCCCAAGGATAAAACACCCAGAGACAAAATGAGCAACGTGGTATGTGCAGCATTATGCAGTGAGACATGTGCAGATCTGCACACTGGGGAAACAAAACAACCACTTCATAAACGGTGGAGGCAGGAAACTGCGGAGGAGCAGAGGCTAAGAGAGGATCTGAGGGCATTTCACCAGGATCGCCCAAGTCTTGTGATGGGATTCTATAGTTTCCTTTACATCCCCTGAAGCCAGTTCTACGGTCTGGTGCCTGCAGCTTCACCAACATCAAACACGGGAGAAACCAGTGGATTAAAAGGTATGCTCACACCTGGACACATCTGGGGCCAGATTCCACTCCCACCACCTCCCAGCCTGCCAAAGAGCCCAGCCTTCCCCTCCCTGCAGCCTCTCACCTTCCAGGGCCAGGTCCAGAGGCTCCGGCAGGCCGTCGTGCTCCACGTGGCACCGATAGCGGCCCCTCTCTTTGGGGTCGATCCGGATGCTGAGCCAGTAGTGGTAGGTCCCATCCGCGTTGGGGACCAGAAACCCATGGAAGGTCTCCTCCAGCCAGACCTCCCCGTCCCTCCTCCAGGAGGCATCGATCTCCCTGGGGTAGAAGCCATCCAGGCGGCAGACGTGCGTCTCCATCCCATCATCGGCCTCAGTCCTGCTGTTCACCGTCACCTCTGGGGGCTCTGCAGAAATGGCACCCTTAGAATTAACTCTGAGCCCCTCCAGAGCCTGGAAGGGGGATCAAAAAAATGAAGGGGCAGGAAAGTCTCCCACCACTTATTTTTAACCCGAAGATTTGCTGCTGATCCACACAGACACTTGATCCTGGCCAGCCACAACTATGGCTTGCAGGGGGTGGGGAAGTGTATTTCATGTTAATGGCTGCCTGACAATAAGAGCCAAACCAAACTTCCAGCATCCTGCAAGAGGGGCTGGAAGGGGAGGAGAAGGATTCCCACCAGGGCAAACAGGCTCCAGACAAGGGACCCAAAGGGGCTGAATGTGTCAGAGAAATCCGGCCATCAAGGAGGAAAGTCCAGCCTGGATCCAGATGCTCACCTGTCCTCTGCAGCATCTCTTTCTCGTAGGACAGGTACTTCCCCAGCCACTCAATGCAGATTTCCTCCAGGTAGGCTTTCTTTCTCTGATTAAATCCTTGATCAGCATCCCATTTCCTCTTGGTGATCTGGGCCTGGAGGTCGAGAGCCACCCAGGTGCGGGTCTCCGTGTCGAAGGTGAGGAAGGTCCTCCCATCGTATCCGTGCATCTCAAACCCTTCCTTGGTCTTCCCGTCTGTGCAGAGTTCACAGCCAGACAACATCTGTATTGTGTGAAAGCCTGAAATAGGGACAGGAAGATGGTTTGGGGAGTCCCCAGGAGAGACAGAGCCCCTCTCCCCTGCTGGGATACTGAGACCGGAGGAACGGAGTGAGAAAAAGGATAAATAATGGTTGGAAAATGAAAGAAATACATTTTCCCCTACGAAGCTATTCAGTTCCCCCTTAGATCAAACGTTAAGAGCTGTGGACTTCAACTCCCAGAATTCCTCAACCAGCTTTGCTTTGAGTTCAAGTCCACAAGTCTTCAAGTTGTCAAGTTAGGGGACCCCTGCTCTAGATAAGCCTTGAGATCCTCCATCCGGCCTCCAAGTTGCACCTTGTCGGTCTCCAGACGCAGCCGCTCACCCATGTCCCCCTCCATCTTCTACTCCTTTCCCCCAAAGGCTCCGTCTGGGCAAAAGGAGAACAAGCAGCTCCATCCTTGCTTTGCATCCTCAGAGCCCCAAATCCGCCATGTGGAGGTTCAATGAGGAGCCAAAGGCTGGATGGTGGGCAGTGTGTGTGTGTGTGTGTGAGGGAAAGAGGAGAGCTGAAACACTGTTGAAAGCCCCCCAAGAAAATTTATTTTCCTCAGGTAACCCCCGTCACTCCTTTCCCCCCGATCATTTCCCTCGTGGTAGCCTGATCATACTTTCCACTGAGATTTTTGCATTCTCACAAACCTAAGACGGGGGTTCTAGTTCCCCATCCCAAAAATTATAGCAGATCCAATCCCCATATCCTCCTCCTCTCCGGAGGGAAGCTAACTGGGGGGGGGGGCATTCCCCAATTTCTCTGTGTTTCCCCAAGGAAAGGGGGATGGCAAGGGAATTGAAAGATTCTGCCCTCCCTAAGGAAAAAGGCCAAGAGGTTTAAGAGGATTTCGCCTCCGAAAATACCTGTTAGTCTCTTAAAAGTTTTGGTGTCTGAATATTCCCCCCCCCCCCGCCGCCCAAATTGTCCAAAAAGGGAAACCTGACAGCCCCATTTCTCCCCTAATGTTCAAGGGAAAGAAGGCCTCTCCAATTGCCCCACTTCATCCTTGGCCTGGGTCTCTGAAGCTGGATGGAGCCCCTGATCCTCACCAGGAAAAGGGCAGTAGGCAAATTTCTTTGGCTTCCTGGGATCAGAAAAGGCACCGGAGTTTAGTTTGAGTAGCCATAAAATGCACAGAGAAATTTTTGTTATGGGCCAAGGATAAACTTGCATTCATTAGTGTAAAAGAAAGAAGAAACATATTTTTAAAAATTTTTTAAAAAGCATGGCAGCAGCCTTTCCTTTGGGGGGGGGGGGAACCTCTTTCTCTTCTACCCTGTTCCTGGGGGAGGGGAATATGGGGCCGGAGGAGCCACCAGACCCATCACTCACCTTCGCTCTGATTGTAGCGATTCCTCAGAGTCTCCAGGTTTCCTCTGAACTGCTCCTCAGCGCCACGAAAATTCCGGGTGTTTCTGTCCCTGTATTGGGGGTCATCTTTCTCCACTTTCTCCATCCAGGAGACTCGAGGCTTCATCCTCCGGCTGTGGCTGTCGTAGTGAACAAAGGCCTGACCGTCCATGTACCCCACAGCGACAAACTGGGGCAGCCCCTGACTGGGGTCTGAGATGGCGGTGAGGAAATACTTCAGGGAGTGGGAGGAGGCGCCTGGAAGGGACCCAGAGGGGGAGAGTTAAGAGAGTCCAGGTGAGGTTACAGCCTCCATGTCTTGAAATACACGGAAGCGAGTCGAAAACGAGCCCGATCCTCCCAGCACCAGAAGCCAGAAAGAGCCACCAAATCTGGCCCAAAGTAGGAAGGAAGAGCCAGACAGGAGTTGTTGTGCTGAAGGCAGCCAGGAAGTTCGGGAACTGCCCGGATCCTCTGCAAACGCCGCTTTCCGACAATCGCCACTTCGGGGGAGGGAAAGAACAGAGCTTGGGGGCGCCCAGGTAGACTTGACGGACACCTGGAGGGGCCACCCTTGGCCTGTTCCCCGGGGGGCTCTCCTGGGGTTAGGGGGGAGGCAGCAGGGTCCCCCCAACGTTTTGGGACCTAACCAAACAGGGGCCACGGGGGGGGGAGGGGAGCGGGCTGGAAAGAGGAGCGAATCAGGGACTCTATTTCTGGGAATAAACTTTGGGGGGGCGGAGAGAGAAAGAGTCCCTGGAAGGAAAAAGGGGGCGGAACTCCCGAAGGCCCCAAAGGGGCTCACCAACGCAGCTCTCCCGTAGGGCGACCGCCAGCAGCACCAGGAGCCCGAGGGGCGCCGAGCGCAGAGCCATCCTGGCCGCGACCCTCAAGCAGCCCCGGATCTCCTGGACAGGCGCAGGCAGAGAAAGACGCGCCCCGCCTGAGCAACTGCGCAACAACCCAGAGAAAGGCCGCGATTAGCCAGGCTCAACCAGTAGAAAAAAAGTATTCCCGTGTCGTCACTGTTGCTAGGCAGACGTCCAGGAGAGAGAGAGAGAGGAGGGAAAGGAAAGCGAAAGTGCCATCAGGAAATCCCCTTCCAGGCACTTCCGCCTCTTGGGGGAACTGAGGGACAGAATTGGGGGGCTCGGAAAAGAGGAGTGGGGGGGGTTCCTCTGGGCCTAGGAGGGGCCGTCTTAAACAAAGCAGTGTCCTGGGGCCCCTAGACAAGTACTCATAAAAAAGTACACTGTGGATACAATTAAACATATATTTATTTTATTGGCGCCTCCCACAAAATCGGGGTTGAAGCATTAAAAACATGCTGTGCGGCAACAACCTAATCAACAGGATAAGCATTTGAACAGTACACGAGGCTGGAAAAACCCAATAATACTCAGTAAGGCCCACAGTTGCTCTATTTATATCAGAGCACCCCAAACTTGGCCACTTTAAGACAATGTGGACTTCAACTCCCAGAATTCCTCCTCCAGTCATGTTAGCTCAGGAATTCTGGGAGTCGAAGTCCACACGTCTTAAAGTGGCCAAGTTTGGAGGCCTCTGATTTATCCAAGGTGCCTTGAAGGGTTTACCATACATAGATTAGTATGGGGCCTCGATGCTCGTGAGGCCCAAGGCAAGGGCCCATCAGGCCCAGGTGTTAAGGCAGGCCTGGCTGGGCATGAGTCCCTTGCAGAGCCCGCACAGCAGATAGCAGCTGGCCATTTGGGGGAGGTGGGAAAACAGGAATAAATTTAGATGGCTGCTTAATTTATTATTTTATTTTAATTATAAGAATACAACACGGTGCTGCTGATCTGGCATTACAATTGTTATCCATATATACATTTTACTTCATCATTTATAATCTCCCTCTTTGATATATTATTTACTGATTATTCTAATCCTCATAGCTACTTATGTTCCGACCTTGCCTTCTTCTATGTAACCATTGATAAAATTTATTCCACGTTTCATGGTATTTAGATTCTCCTTTGTTTTTTTTTAATTCTAGAGTTAACCTATCTGATTCTGCACATGCCATAATTTTTCTTATTATCTCTGTTTCTGGAAGTACGTTTTAATTTTTTCAGTATTTTGCATATATTATTCTAGCCGCCGTCAATGCATGATACGTTATTAGATACATTAAATCCTTCCTATATCTTTCTGATATTATTCCTAGAAGAAGAAAAATCTGGTCAATGAACTGCACTCTCCCGCCATTTGTTCCACCCACGTCTGAATCAGTCTCCCAATATTTTTTTGCAGCATTGCAAGTCCACCACATGTGAAAAAATGTGCCTTTTGAAGGATCAGATGATGGAAGGGTATGTCCAGAGGAGGCCCCGGGAATTAGAGGAAGGGTCATATGTGGAGATAGGACCTAGGTACGGATGGAATGGACATGAGAGTGAGGAATATGAATTCTGATCAGACATTTTCTCTTGTTTTCGTTTCTTTGTCTTAAGCAGACTTGCTCCTTCCTGTTGTTGGAAGAACTATCCTTCCGGGTTCAGTTCCAAGTGGGGAAAAAGACACTGGATTCATGGAGGCTGCTTGGAAGGATGGTTTTAATGGTGGACAGGACCACCTGCCTTGGAGCTCCTGAGCGAAAAGGGAAGAGATGCTGAGAGTCCCTGGGATTTATGACCTTTCTGGGTTTTGAACCTGCTTCCTGTTCCTGTGCGCAAGAAATGTGTCCTGTTGTCAGACTCCCATGGGGCCATGCAGGGGTAACTTGGTGATGCAACCTTCCCAGGTGCCATGGGGTGAGATGGGTAAGGGCTAATGCTCTCATGCCCTGATCCCATCACCCTGGTGCTGAAGGGGGGACATCTCTTTAAAGAGATGTTTCCCCTTTTCTCATCCAAGGGAAATACGATATTCTGCCTTTTTAATATTTCCTAGAATAGTTCATTCTTCTAGGAGAGGGGTGGGTGCTGGTTTTCTAAAGCGCCTGTAGGCCAGACAAGGAATAATGGATGGGAACTCAACAAGGAGAAATTCAACCTGGAAATAAGGAGAAACTTTCTGACAGTGACAAACGATCAACCCATGGAACAGAAGTTGCCCTCGGAAGTTGTGGGAGCTGCCATCACTTGAGACTTTCAAGGAGAGATTGGACTGCCATCTGTCAGAAATGGTGTAGGGTCTCCCGCTTGGGCGGGGGGTTGGGCTAGATGACCTACAAGATCCCTTCCAACTCTGATTATCTGTTATCTGTTAATCAATGCAGCTGGTAGAATATACCTCTGGGATTTCCAGGGCCGACTTGGAGAGTCCTTCTTGGGTGGTGGAAGAGAGAGGAGATCCATGGGCTATGGCTGTTGGGAGGCTCCAGAGCAAGGGTCTTCCAACTTGGCAAGTTGAAGTCTTGTGCACTTCATCTCCCAGAATTCCTGAGATAACATGACCTGAGGAGGAATTCTGGGAGTTGAAGTCCACAAGTCTTCAAACTGTCAAGTTTGAAGATCCCTGCTCTACACCATAGGATATGCCCTCTGGGGTTCCCCAACGCACCACAATTGAGGAGGTTAAGAATTGGGGCCTGTCCTGGAGGAACAATCCAGGTAAACTCCTCCTTACCTTTTTTTGTCTGTGGAAAGGCTTCAGCTGCTGTCGACTGGCTGGCCTACCTTAGAGGATTGTTGTGAGAGGAAAGGGTAGATTTAACAGATAATCAGAATTGGAAGGGACCTTGTAGGTCATCTAGTCCACACACACCCCGCCCAGGCGAGAGACCCTACACCATTTCTGACAAATAGCAGTCCAATCTCTTCTTGAAAGTCTCAAGTGATGGCGCTCCCACAACTTCCGAGGGAAACTTCTGTTCCACTGGTTAATCAACTGACAGTTCTCATTGTCAGAAAGTTTCTCCTTGTTTCCAGGTTGAATTTCTCCTTGTTCAGTTTCCATCCATTATTCCTTGACTGGCCTACAGGCGCTTGAGAAAATAGCTTGACCCCCTTCCTCCTTGTGGCAGCCCCTAAATATTGGAAGACCGCTATCCTGTCTCCCCTGGTCCTTCTCTTCGCTAGACTAGCCAAGAAAGGAATGAGAACATTCAGACCCTGCAGAGATGGAACTCAACCAAGGCCTAATGGTTTGCAGAAAGAGAGAGCCAGAACTCACAAGAAGCAATGGGTGGAAACGAATCAAGGAGAGAAGGAAACTAGAACGGAGGAGAAATTTTCAGACAGTGAGAACAATGAATCAGTGAAACAACTTGCCTCCGGAAGGTGTGAATGCTCCAACACTGGAAGTTTTAAAGAAGGAATTGGACAATCATTTCTCTGATGGGGTATAGGGCTTCCTACCCAAGCAGTCCCTCCCAACACTGTTATTCTGTTGTGTGCGTGTCAATCCATGAACACCCAAGATGTCAGAGTTCCAGCAAACTTCCATTCCAATCAATAACGCCAAGAGCGACATATCTCAAAGATATCTTTATTTGGATAGAAACTGGCACATCTGTGGAATCCCCAGTCTGAAAGTTTTTGGGCTTCCTTGCCGTATTCAAAACTAAAAAAACCCATCCCCCCCTTGGCTGTCATCGTATCAAATCACATGGCCCAATCATGATCCATCCTAATGTGTCTGGTAATTTTCCACCCCGCTTCACTAAAG